GGAGGCTGAGGCAGGTGGATCATGAGGTCAGGATACCAGCCTGACCAACGTGGTGAAACAGTGTCTCTACTAAAAATACAAAAATTAGCTAGGTGTGGTGGCGCGTGCCTGTAATCCCAGCTTCTCAGGAAGCTGAGGCAGGAGAATAGCTTGAACCCAGGAGGCAGAGGTTGCAGTGAGCCAAGATCGTGCCATTGCGCTGTAGCCTGGGCAACAGAGCGAGACTCCGTTTCAAAATAAAAAAATTGCTTATGAGAACACAAAACACAGACACACAATACAAAGCTATAAAGATTTCAACTCAGCTGGGCGCGGTGGCACACGCCTGTAATCCCAGCACTTTGGGAGGCTGAGGCGGGCGGATCATGAGATCAGGAGATCAAGACCATCCTGGTAAACACGGTGAAACCCCGTCTCTACTAAAAATACAAAAAATTAGCCAGGCGTGGTAGCGGGTGCCTGTAGTCCCAGCTACTCGGGAGGCTGAAGCAGGACAATGGCATGAACCAGGGAGGCAGAGCTTGCAGTAAGCCAAGATTGCACCACTGCACTCCAGCCTGGGTGACAGAGCGAGACTCCATCTCAAAAAAAAAAAAAAATTTCAACTCAAGGCAGGTGCAGTGGCTCACGCCTGTAATCCCAGCACTTTGGGAGGCTGAGGTGGGCAGATCACAAGGTCAGGAGATGGAGACCTTCCTGGCCAAGATAGTGAAACCCCATCTCTACTAAAAATAGAAAACATTAGCCGGGCATGATGGCGTCATCTGTAGTCCCAGCTGCTTTGGAGGGTGAGGCAGGAAAATCGCTTGAACTCGGGAGGCAGAGGTTGCAGTGAGCCAAGATGATTGCGCCACTGCACTCCAGTCCAGGAAACAGTGCGAGACTCGGTCTCAAAAAAAAAAAAAAAGATTTCTGGCCGGGTGCGGTGGCTCATGCCTGTAATCTCAGCACTTTGGGAGGCCGTGGCGGGCCGATTGCCTGAGGTCAGGAGTTCAAGACCAGTCTGACCAACATGGTGATAACCCATCTCTAATAAAAATACAAAAATAAAATTAGCTGGGTGTGGTGGCGTGTGCCTGCAATCCCAGCTACTTGGGAGGCTGAGGCAGCGGAATTGCTTGAGCCTGGGAGGCAGAGGTTGCGGTGGGCTCAGATGGTACCACTACACTCCAGCCTGGGTGATAAGGTGAGACTGTGTCTCCCCCTTACCTTCCAAAAAAGACAATTGTGAGCCTTTATTTTCTGCCTGGACCATCACCTTAAGCTTGATGGATGGAACTCCTGGCACATTTCTACCCGGGATCCTCCCAGAACTCAGTTGTTTTTCCTGGGAGAAGATACGCTCCCTATACTCATCATTTACTCCTTCCAGCCTGATTCAGCCTCAGCCTGACCGCAACAGACCCAGGCCTTGATTTGTTTTATCCGGAAGTTGCCTAGGAAAGGATGTATGCTGTATTTGTTACAAAGTAGTTGATAAGTAAACCGTTTCTCAACTTGTAAACTGTCAAACAGGAATATTAATCATATTTAATTAAGGTCTGAAAAAGTTACAGATGGCCGAGACGGGCGGCTCACGAGGTCAGGAGATCGAGACCATCCTGGCTAACACGGTGAAACCCCGTCTCTACTAAAAAATTACAAAAAAACTAGGTGGGCGAGGTGGCGGGTGCCTGTAGTCCCAGCTGCCTGGGAGGCTGAGGCAGGAGAATTTTTGCAATTGAATGTCTTTTTTTAATCATTTAAATCTGCTTTTTTAAGAGACAGGCTAAAGTTGAGGAACACTTTGAAGGGAGAGGGCAGTAGAACAGAAAGCCACCTTTTAAAGAACTTGGCAATTCTTGGTCGGCTTGTTCTCTGTTGTGAAGTTTACCATTTAGTTGTTTTTTTTTGTTTGAGTCAGAGTCTTTCTCTGTTGCCCAGGCTGGAGTACAGTGGCTCACAGCAACCTCCACCTTCCAGGTTCAAGCGATTCTCCTGCCTCAGCCTCCCGAGTAGCTGGAATTACAGGCGCCCACCACCACGCCCAGCTAATTTTTTTGTATTTTTAGAAGAGATGAGGTTTCACCATATTGGCCAGGCTGGTCTCATACTCCCAGAGTGTTGGGATTACAGGCGTGAGCCACTGTGCCGGGCCTACCATTTAGTTTTTAGGTTGTCAGACATCTGAGTCCATAGCCACAGGGACACCTGTCTGCTGTGCTTGGATTCTGCTTAAGGTGCAGGTAATTGCTTTGATTGGTTAAGGTACTGGGAGAGTTGTCAGCTGCCTATTTCCCATTTGACCCCTCGAGTGAATCCCTGAGTCTGTCTCAGGTGGGTGATTGATTGTTCCGCTTGGGCAGACTGTAGAGAGCCACTGTGTGGGTGAACCTGGGGCATCTCAGACTGGTCTGTTAGGGGCTGTTGTCCGAAGTAAGCATGGAAGAGAAGGCACAGTGACCCTTGTCAACTCCTTAGTACTTGGATCCTGATGAGCTCCAGCCAGCTCTTCATCTTTCCAGGAAGTTCGGTGTGCAGGTGCCTAGAAGCAGTCAAATGCCAGATCATATGATTTCCTGATTCTTTGATTTGAACATACTGAAATGTTTACCACAGAGTATCTGGGTGACCAACAAGAAGCAGTTTATTTATTTTTTTGAGAGGGAATCTCGCTCTTGTTGCCCAGGCTGGAGTGCAATGGCACAATCTCGGCTCACTATAGCCTTTGCTTCCCGGGTTCAAGCGATTCTCCTGCCTCAGCCTCCCAAGTAGCTGGGATTACAAGCATGCACCACCACTCATGGCTAATTTTGTATTTTTAGTAGAGACAGGGTTTCACTGTGTTGGCCAGGCTGGTCTTGAACTCCTGACCTCATGTGATTCACCCGCCTTGGCCTCCCAAAGTGCTGGGATTACAGGCGTGAGCTACTGTGCCTGACCAAGAGGCAGTTTTTGAATTCCAAAATTATGGAGTGATATCTGGGAGTCAGCCTTCATCAGTGATGCTGCTTGTCTTTTTTTCAGCTTCTTGGGAGATTGGGCACCAGGAGACTTGGAGCTTCTTCCCTATCTTGACCTACTCCCAAGTATGCATTTTTTTGAAAAAAATATTTAAGATTTCTAGAGAAGATCATAATCTTCTCCTGTGTCCGTGTGAGCCATTGTGGAGCGGTTTATTACAGCTGACTTACTCTCTCCTGTCCGTTTTAGGAGCAGTGACATGGATTATCACCCCTTAGTGTTTTCCTGTCATCTGCCTTCTCATCTCCACCTAAAATTTTGTTTTTGGTAAAAGATCGTGCTATCTAAACGTGTCATCATTGCAAAACAAGCTTATTTATGTTTAACATGATGCTGACATTAGCAGGCTGACTTACGGTGTAATGTTAGTGTTTCTTACTATTGGTCACTGGCTGACAGTTGGAAAAGTGATACTGTGTCTGTATTTTTTTTTTTTTTTTTTTGAGATGGAGCCTTGCTCTGTTGCCCAGGCTAGAGTACAGTGCTGCCATCTCAGCTTACTATAACCTCTGCCTCCCAGGTTCAAGCGATTCTTCTGCCTCAGCCTCCCGAGTAGCTGGGACTACAAGTGCGTGCCACCATGCCCAGCTAATTATTTTTAGTAGAGATGGGGCGTCACCATATTGGCAAGGTTGGTCTCTAACCTGACCTCATGATCCTCCCATCTCGGCCTCCCAAAGTGTTGGGATTACAGGTGTGAGGCACTGGGCCCTGCTTTTTTTCTTTCTTTTTTTTTTTTTTTTTTTTTTTGAGATGCAGTCTCGCTCTGTCACCCAGGCTGGAGTGCACTGGCCGAAGCTCCGCCTTCCGAGTTTATGCCATTCTCCTGCCTCAGCCTCCTGAGTAACTGGGACTACAGGCACCCGCCACCAGGCGTGGCTAACTAGTTTTTTGTATTTTTTAGTAGAGATGGGGTTTCACCGTGTTAGCCAGGATGGTCTCGATCTCCTGACCTCGTAGTCTGCCCGTCTCGGCCTCCCAAAGTGTTGTTTTTTTTTTTTGATACGGAGTCTCGGTCTGTTGCCTAGGCTGGAGTGCATTGGTACGGTCTCGGCTCACTGCAACTTCTGCCTCCTGGGCTCAAGCGGTTCTCCTGCCTCAGCCTCCCGAGTAGCTGGGACTACAGGCACCCACCACCACGCCCAGCTAATTTTTGTATTTTTATTAGAGACCATGTTGGCCAGTCGGGTCTTGTACTGCTAACCTCAGATGAACTGCCCGCCTTGGCCTCCCAAAGTGCTGGGATTACAGGCATGAGCCACTGCGGCCGGTCCTGTCTGTATTTTTATCTGAAATTACGTTAGCCTTTGCCTAGTTATGGTGAATTAACGTTAGCATATGATAGTTGTCTTAATGTTTCCCACCAACCCTTTTCAGAGTAAGCAATTAGACGTCTAGAGTTTCTTTTCCTTTATCTGTTTGGGTAAATAGCAACCAGTTTTTCCTACTACTTTAGACAGTAGGCAATAACGAAATGTATTCATAGCTCTCAGTAATATTTGTTCTATTGTTTTGTTTTTGAGGTGAAAGGGGGGACCCCACCCTCAGAACATGAGGGAATAATATTTACGTGGCTCACAAAGACCAGTGAGTACATCATATGCATCTCTCACAACTCCCCAGAAGAGGGCCTCCAGCACGAGTCTAGGCTCAGCCTTTTCTTTCCCTCCGAGAACTCCGTGAATTGCTCCAAGTGTTTTAATTTTCCTCAGAATTTCTTTGTAATGTTATTGAGGGTTGGAGTCCTGTGACAAATTTTGGAAATGAATGAATCCAATGAGAAGACCATGCTTCCAAACAATCATTCTGTTTAACAGATCCCCTTGATTTAATGCAATTATGAATGTGTTAGTGGTAGTGTAGTTTAAGATCTTCCCAGTGAATCCACAGGCTTTAAAAAAATGAACCTAGGAGTGTATTTCCTATCAAGTAAATGGGTTCTAAGACTTTATGCTTTACACATAATTGATTATAGCTCTCTGCTTTTCCAATGCTAGGCAATGGATCACTTGGAGTCCTTTATTGCGGAATGTGATCGGAGAACTGAGCTCGCCAAGAAACGGCTGGCAGAAACACAGGAAGAAATCAGTGCGGAAGTTTCTGCAAAGGTATGCTTGGGTGGCTTCGCTGCCTGGTATGTTCTTGCAAATACTGGCTTCTCAATAGCTTTTTTTTTTTTTTTTTCTTTGAGATGGAGTCTCACTCTGTCACCCAGGCTGGAGTGCAGTGGTGCAGTCTTGGCTCACTGCAAGCTCCGCTTCCTGGATTCACGCCCTTCTCTTGCCTCAGCCTCCTGAGTAGCTGGAACTACAGGCACCCGCCATCACGCCCGGCTAATTTTTTGTATTTATAGTAGAGACGAGGTTTCACCGTGTTAGCTAGAATGGTCTCGATCTGCTGACTTCATGATCTGCCCGCCTCAGCCTCCCAAAGTGCTGGGATTACAGGCGTGAGCCACTGCGCCTGGCCTTGTCAATAGCTGTTAACTCACCCTCAGCACTGATTGTGTGGACAGTACTCTCTGCCTTATTCCAGTTACGGATAGAGGGCTGTGGTCAAGCATTCATGTGTCATCGAATTCTCATCCCTCAGGAGTTACTACCTCTGTCTTTATTCTGTCCATTTTTGTCCTCTATACATGGTTTATTATTATTTTTATTTTAATGTATTCTTCGCTGAGTTTGGTGGCTCACGCTTGTAGTCCCAGCGCTTTGGGAGACCAAGGTTGGGGCAGATTGCTTGAGCCCAGGAGTTTTAGACCAGCCTAGACAACATGAAGAAACTCCATCTCTACAAAAAGTACATATATTAGCCAGGCTTGGTGGTGCACATGCGTATCCCAGTTACTCAGGAGGTTGAGGTGGGAGGATCACTTCAGCTTGGGGAGATTGAGGCTGCAATGAGGTATGGTCATGCTACTTTACTCCAGCCTGGATGACAGAGTGAGACCCTGCCTCAAAAAAAAAAAAAAATTTGGGGTTTTTTTTTTTTTTTTTTTTTTTTTTTGATACAGTCTTGCTCTGTCGCCGAGGCTAGAGTGCAGTGTCACCATCTTGGCTCACTACAAGCTCCGCCTCCCAGGTTTATGCCTTTCTCCTGCCTTAGCACCCCAAGTAGCTGGGACTACAGGCGCCTGCCACCACGCCCGGCTAATTTTTTGTATTTTTAGTAGAGACGGGTGGCTCACTACAAGCTCCGCCTCCCAGGTTTATGCCTTTCTCCTGCCTTAGCACCCCAAGTAGCTGGGACTACAGGCGCCTGCCACCACGCCCGGCTAGTTTTTTGTATTTTTAGTAGAGACGGGGTTTCACAGTGTTAGCCAGAATGGTTTCTATCTCCTGACTGACCTCGTGATCCGCCCGCCTCGTTTTCTCAAAGTGCTGGGATTACAGGCATAAGCCACTGAGCCCAGCCATGTTTATTTTATTTTTTTTTAAATAGAGATGGAGTGTCTGTTGCCCAGGCTGGTCTGGAACTCTTGGGCTTAAGCGATCCTCCCACCTTGTCCTCCCGAAGTGCTGGGTTTACAGGTGTGAGCCAGCATGCCCGGCCTCTGCATGTTGTTTTAAACTTTAATATGTTCACATAAATCTGGAAAGAACTGGAAAGGAAATGGTCATACTGTGGTACATCCATGTCATAGAATGAAAAAGGAAGTAGATTTATATGTAGTTAGCTTGAGTGCCAGTTACATCACTCTTCTGTTTTTCTCTTCAGTGGAACTACGTCTCTCCTTGCTTTTTCTTTTCAGTGTTGTAAAAGCATTGCTTAGGATTTATGCAATTGCTAATTTGACCAAAGGTGCTGTTTTGTTTCAGAAGGTAAATCCTAGTAATTAGGTATTTTGCTTATAGCTTAAATCTGTGCACTGAAATCTAGACATTTTGTTAGCCATACCCTGAAGAAAAAGTCATAAAGAGAGACAGCCTAGACAATGACCAGTCTATGGTGATCCTTGGAACCATGTTGGAAGTGACAAAGGTACTCCTGGTTTCATTGGAACACAGCACAGAGGATTCGTTTGTGGTTAGTCTGAATGCTGGCAGTAAGGATGCCTTCATTGTTAAGTGTGGATCTTTAGCTCTTCCATGTATTTTCAGTAGAACAGACTGGAAATGGAGCAGGAGAAACCCTTGTTGTCTTTGCATTCACTTTCAGTTTTAGACGTCTGATAACCTCGTTCTTTCTCCTCACAGGCAGAAAAAGTACATGAGTTAAATGAAGAAATAGGAAAACTCCTTGCTAAAGCCGAACAGCTAGGGGCTGAAGGTAATGTGGATGAATCCCAGAAGATTCTTATGGAGGTGGAAAAAGTTCGTGCGAAGAAAAAAGAAGCTGAGGTTGGTGAGAGAAATGTCTTAGGGAAAGAAATCTCAGTAATTTGGCAGAGATGACTATTTAAATTAATTTAGCCCATGCTTGCTTGCATTTTTAAAAAAATTTGTAAACTTTGGGCTGGGCACAGTGGCTCATGCCTGTAATCCCAGCACTCTGGGAGGCCGAGGTGGGTGGATCACGAGGTCAGGACATCAAGGCCATCCTGGCTAACGTGGTGAAACCCCGTCTCTACTAAAAATACAAAAAAATTAGCCAGGTGTGGTGGCGGGTGCCTGTAGTCCCAGCTGCCCGGGAGGCTGAGGCAGGAGAATAGTGTGAACCGGGGAGGTGGAGCTTGCAGTGAGTTGAGATTGCACCACTGCACTCCAGCCTGGGCGACAGAGCGAGACTCCGTCTCAAAAAAAAAAAAGAAAAATTATAAACTTTGTTTTTTCAAGCAGTTTTAGCCTCATGGCTAAATTGAGAGGAAAGTACAGAGATTGTCTATGTATCCCTTCCTTAGACAGCCTCCTCCATTCCCCGCATCCGCCCACAGTTAGTGGGTCTACTTTGACTTGTCATTATCACCCAAAGTCTGTAGGCTATGGTGAATGGTGTCATGCATGGTCTGTAAACATTTGCATGTATCTTTTTTTTTTCTTTTTCTATTTATTTATTTATTTATTTATTTAGAGGCGGAGTCTCGTTCCGCCACCCAGGCTGGAGTACAGTGGCGCGATCTCGGCTCACTGCAAGCTCCACCTCCCGAGTTCACACCATTCTCCTGCCTCAGCCTCCTGAGTAGCTGGGACTACAGGTGCCCACCACTACGCCCGGCTAATATTTTTGTATTTTTAGTAGAGACGGGGTTTCACCGTGTTAGCCAGGATGGTCTCAATCTCTTGACCTTGTGATCCACCTGCCTCGGCCTCCCAAAGTGCTGGGATTACAGGAGTGAGCCACCACGCCAGGCCCATGGCTAATTTTTTTTTTTTTTGGCATTTTTAGTAGAGATGAGGTTTCACCATGTTGGCCGAGCTGGTCTCGAACTTCTGACCTCAGGTGATCCATCTGCCTCGGCCTCCCAAAGTGCTGGAATCACAGGCGTGAGCCACTTTTCCAGGCCATTTGCTACCTTTTATGAGTCTTGTAATTTTCCTCATAGTGAAGATCTTATACATACTTTGTTAGATTTCTTCCTAAGTATTTCACTCTTGGGGGTGCTGGTATAAATAGTAATTTGTTTTTTGGTTTTTGTTTTTGTGTTTTTTTGAGATGGAGTCTCATTCATGCGGCCAGGCTGGAGTGTAGTGGTGTGATCTTGGCTCACTGCTACCTCCGCCTCCTGGGTTCAGGCGATTCTCCTGCCTCAGCCTCCCAAGTAGCTGGGACTATAGGTGCACACCACCATGCCTGGCTAATTTTTTGTGTTATTAGTAGAGATAGGATTTAACCGTGTTAGCGAGGATGGCTTTCATCTCCTGACCTCATGATCCGCCCGCCAAAGTGCTGGGAGTACAGGCGTGAGCCACCGCACCCGGCCCTCCCCGCCCCCTGCCCCGAGATGGTCTCACTTTCTCACCCAGTCTGAGTGCAGTGGCGCAATCTTGGCTCACTGCAGCCTTGATCTCCTGGGGTCATTTGATTCTCCTGCTTCATCTCTTCAAATAGTTAGGACTACAGGTGCATGCCACAGGCCTCCCTTTCCCCCTCCGCCTCCCCGAGATGGTCTGTCTTTCTCACCCAGGCTGGAGTGCAGTGGTACAATCTTGGCTCATTGCAGGCTTGATCTCCTGGACTCATTTGATCCTCCCACCTCAGCCCTTCAAGTAGCTAGGACTGAAGGCGTGTGCCACAAAGCACAGCTAATTTTTTGTATTTTTTGGAGAGATGGGGTTTTGCCATGTTGTCAAGGCTGGTCTCAAATTGCTGGGCTAAAGCGATCTGCACACCTCAGCCTCCCAAAGTGCTAGGATTAGAGGCAAGAGCCACCGTGCCTGGCCTCTTGTAATGCCTTTATCTGGTTTTGGTATTATGGTAATATTGTCCCCATAGAAGGAGTTAAGAAATACTCTCTCTGCTTTTCTGAAAGAGATTGTAGAGAATTGGCATGATTTCCTCCCTGATGCCTTGGTAGAATTCACCAGTAAACCCATCTGGACCTGATGCTTTCTGTCTTGGAAGGTTATTAATAAATAGATCCATTCAGATCATCTATTTCTTCTTGTGTAAGTTTTGGCAGATTGTGTCTTTCAACATTATTATTATTTTTTTTACACAGTTTCTCGCTCTGTTGCTCAGGCTAGAGCGCAGTGATGTGATGTCGGCTGACTGCAACCTCCGCCTTCTGGGTTCAAGCAATTCTCCTGCCTCAGCCTCCTGAGTAGCTGGGATTACAGGCGTGC